TAATTTTATTTTAGTTTTTTTAGTAAAATAATGCTTTATTTATTATTAAATTAAAGTATAATAAAATAATTAAAATAATATAAAAGTAAATTTAGATTATTTTTTATTTAATATAAAAAAATTATAAAAATTAATTAAATTTGAATAATTTTTATTAGAAGTAATTATTAATTTTTATATTAATATATTAATCTTACAATAATTTATAATTTATATTTTTCTTTTTTTTTTATTAATTTAATAAATTTTTTTTATAAAATTATTTTTCAAATAAAAATTTCTAATTATAAATTTGATAATAATCTTTTATTTATTAAGTAATTTATAAATTTTAAATATTATTTTATTAAATCAAATTAATTTTTTTATTATATAATAATAAAATTAAAAACTTTTATATATAAGAAAAAATATATATTTTACTAATTATAATTAATAAAAAATTTAAGCATTATATTACTTTTGATAATCATTGTATATAAGTTACTAATAAAAAATCTGAATAAAATATATATTAAACTAAAGAACTTTAGTTATTTTTTAAACTAAAAATAAAAAATATTTATTAATAAAATTAAAATTTTTATATATAAAAAAATATATATTTTACTAATTATAATTAATAAAAGATTAAAGAATTATATTATTTATAATTATTATTATATAATAAAAAAGAAATATGTTTTAAAATAAAAATCAAGATTATTATTATTTTATTTTTGAATTTAATAAAAAAATAATAGATAAGAAATCTATTTTTTAATGTTCTTTTTATTATTTTTTTATTATATAAAATTATATATTTTACTTGAATTTAATTATATAAAAAACTTAAATTTAATTATATTTTTATTAAAATTCAATATTAATTTTATTTTTTTATATTTTACTAATTATTACTTAAATATTGATAAAAATTTTATTTAATAAAAAAATTATAACAGAATAATATTAACATATTATAATAATTTTACTAAATAATATTTTATTATTCTAATAAAAGCAATATTAAAATTATAAATATAATTAAATTCAATTAAAAATATAAATAATATAAATAATAATAATTCACTTTCAAAATAATAATAATTAAATGCAAAAAATACTAGAAATAATATTTTTAAGTAAAAAAATATTCAATAAAATTGGTTAATACTATTCAGAAATGTAATTTCATAACTGAAAATATCAATATTGCAGTAAAAACTGTAAAAGTAATTACTTTTATATAATAACTAATTCCAAATACTTGTAATATAAAGACAATAATTATAATAATTTCAATATATTACCAATCTTTAAAACCATCAATCATAACTACTCAACAGGATCTTTAATAATAAAGACACGCAGTAATGGTTGAACAGGTAGTTCACTAATTTAATTTATGAGAATATAGGAAAATGTGATATATATGATTTTTTATCAGGTACCTTTGTGTTTGTAAAAAGATCAGACTTGAGTAGAAATTCAATTTTTTATTAAATAACTGACATAGTAATTAACCAGATACTAATTTTGTGTGTCGAAGTCTTCACGATCACATACTGATGCAGAATAAATTTTGACCCTCTGCAAAAGAATATAGTAATAACAGATAAATGATTGTTGTAGTTTAATCGATAATTATTATATCCACTTCCATGTTTTAAGTATTGGTTATTTTGTTGGTATGTGAATTATATCCATCATGATATTCGTATGAATTTTTTATGAAACCAATATTTCGAATCATTAAAGATTTATGTCACAAGTTGTATTCTTATGAATTGAATATCTCATCGATGACTGATTTTATTGATTTATTATTATTATTGTTGTTATTATTGAGGTTATTGTATTTGTGGATGTTATCGTTATTACTGTTACGATTAATATTGTTGTTGTTGATATATCCATTTTTTTCTGAAATTGGCATTTGATTTTTTTTGATTGGAGGTTGTTGATGTTGCTGCTGCTGATAGATGGGATAATTGTTTGAATGAGACGCGTAATTATTAAGTGTATCGATTGACGATTGCGGTGATGGCAATTGTGTTGTGGTATTGTTGGGTCTTTGCTGTGGCGCAGCAGGGACAGCAGCAGCGGATCGTAAATTCATTGGTGTATTTTTAGTGATATCCGTACAATATGAGGCTCGATATAAATCATCAGGATTAATTTTTGGTATATTTGGTGCTTTAATAGATCCAATGCTTTTAAGATAATTTTTGTCATAAAGACAATTTCCCAATACATTTCCAAATTGACGTAAGGCCCTCTTTAGTCCGTCAGTTACCGCTTCTTTCTTTGCGTGTTGAAATGCCATCGATTTACTTTTTTGATTTTCCGAATCTCCATATCCAATATCTTCGTGATACGCCCCATCAATAAGTGTAACTCGTACGATCACCGAGAGTCCAATTGAATATCTACCATTATTCTCATCCACAAAATCAATATCTACCGAGCCAATACTGCTTGACCACCTATTATATCCGAATATCTCATTTGCAAGTTGAATTGCTTTGAATCCTTCAAGATATGCTATTTTTGCGTTACCGGGTCCTGGTCTGTGTGAGATGTATTCAGGTCCTAGTTGTTGGTTTAACTTAAATGATGTTTCTGAAGGGCATTCATTGTTGTAAATATTGTCATTGCTGTCATTTTCTATTGGATACACGTTATTACTGTTCGTACAATCGTCGTTGTTATTATTGTTGTTAATATTATTTTCAAATCGATTCCAGTTTTGTTGTATTTTATTATTCATATCGAAATTTGAACTCATTTCTTTTTTTTTTGACTTGCAAAAAAATTTGATGGAATGTCAAAATAAGGAGAAAAAAAGAAAAAAACAAAGATAATCTATGTACTCGATTGTTACGCGTATTTTTATTTATGATGTCACGTGAATCCGTATACACGTGAGATGAAAAAAATGCTTTATTAAACTACTTTAAATAAATGATACAATTATTGATAGAATACCCCACTTCTCTTTAACTATTTGGGCAACCACCACGCCGAATTTGCAAGATTTTCTGTATACCACGCTTTTACTGAATCAGAAGTCTTGTTAGAAACAGCAGATGATGATTTTGTATCTTGGATTATATCCGCCGCAGTATTAGGTGTATTATTAGGCCGTGGAAGTGGTGATGGTAATTCCGTGTGAGGTTTATCGACCGGATCATTATCGGATTCGTGAAGATTTTTATGTGATATAGACAATGTACTACTTGATTTTCGAGGAAGATCAATTTTTATATGAGGTGCCCCTTGTCTTACAAGATGTTCAAAAAGAGAGATGTCATTTTCAATGGAAATTTTTTCGCCAACTAGTATGAGATGCTCGAGATTACGTGAAGACAAAAACGGAATTAATAATCCTTCAGGTATAAGTGATGCTTCATTTACAATGATAACTCGGGGTTCAAGATTTTTGATGGAATTTTGATGTTGTAATGCGTGAGAGATATTCATGCCAACCAACGTTGAGCGTTCTACAGTGTTAAGCCATTCAACGTTATGTATATTCTCGACACATTTTTTGAGACTTGTGATTGCGTGGAGAGTTTCGTTTATTTCTGAGCGTACGTGGTTTGTAATTATTTCATCATACGATTCTCTAATCTTTTCTCGAATAAATAATGGAAGCTTCCAGATATTTTTGAATTTTGCTACATAATTTTTCCACATTTTACTTATGTCGTCACTTAAGTTGTCTAAGACAAGTTGTGGTAACGGTTGTTTGTCAAAATTGGCAGATTCACTGGCATTCGGCAAATTTACAATATCACGTAATGCTTCTTGATGAGTATTTCCCCTGAGCCATGCCGGTAGTAAATTGATAGCGTCTGCTTCGAACTGCACACGGATATCTTGAGGAGCGGCGTCAACAAATGAATCATCGCTTATAGCAATCGATTTTGTAGCTTTAAGGAATTCTACATACGTTTTCAATTTTTTGATTGAAGTTCTGATGTCGGGCGAGGGATTATCTGCTGAGGATTTCTGCATGAGGCAATTGATATTGCGCTCGCGTAAATTGTCTGAACATTTTTCTGTTGATCCACAATGAATTAGATCCGGGATAGAGGTGACGAGGTTTTCAAGGATGGTATTTAAGGATTGAGACGATTTTGTAATCAAAAATATTGGCTCTTTGCATGACTTATTTGAGATAACTTGATGGATCATCTCAATAGCATTAACTACGAAATTCTCTTGTGTTGTTGCTTTTGAAAAAAAATCATTAAAGTATATCCAGTTAAAAATATTGTAAATGTCTAATCGATTACTTACAATTCGGGCTAATCGTAAGAGATATTCTTTTAAGAAACACATTCCTTAAAGCCTCCAATTCACCCAATTCAATATTGTAAGGATACTCTGTATCATCAGAAAATGTAAGCCATTTGCCTGTCGCCGAAAATAATGTTCGAGATTTGATATTTTTCTTGAGAATTCGCTGCAAGCTAAGTGTAGCATCGAATAGATAGTCAGGCGGTAACGGTTTTAGAAGCTCATGAGCCAGTGGAAATAAATTTGCAAATTGAGTTTCAATTCGCGTCTTTATGGTAGTATTGTTCATTGCTGTTTGGTATTACAAATTATTCTGTGCGTCGCGGGAATAAAGTTGTGAAAGCAAATTTTCCTCGAGATAATTATATAATTTTATGTATGCTATGTATGTATGCTATGATATGTAGATGGCCTTAAAAACAAATTGTCACACGTATCAGTAATTTTCAGTTACAAAGAAAATTATTTAAATTCTCTTGTTTGATTTGTTCGATAAGTTCAATCTATTGACGATCTTTATTATAAAAGTTGCATTTACTACGAATCTGATCATAATAAAATTTTTGAAACAAAGATTAACAAGAAACGAAGGGAGGCATAGAGCTCACCAATACTGAATAGTATTATGGAACAAATCGAACAAATAGAAACAGAAATACAGGGATTAAAACGGGAAAAGAGATTTTTAGAAGAAGAACAACGCGATGCTGATTATTATGAAGAATTGAGCGAAGAAATTGAACATCTAAACGAAAAAATAAGAACGAGACAGCAACTAGTTAGGACAATAGTCAATAATAGAAATATTCAAAATACTTCCCAAACTCAACATACTCAGCCGCAGGGAGAAATCCAAGAATTAAAGCAAATATTATTGAGGTTAGAAAGAAAAGTCGACCAATTACAAGGGCAAGTAAATCAATTTCACCTCGGATAAATTGTGATCACACCATACATGGATAGGTGAGGCTATTAAATTAAAAATTTTACGTGATAAAAGGACATGATCAGGGAATGTATTGAATTTTTTTATTTTTTTTCTTCAACCCGGTTATAAATACATCCAATACTTTAGAAAATTTTTGTTATAAAAATTAATTTTTTTAACATTAATTTTAATAGCAAGATTTTCAGCACCCCTTAAAATTACATGATTGTTTTCATATAAAATTCTATTTAGCATATACCTCTAAATGCACCCTCCCTAAATGCACGCCCTCCATTAATACATGCTCTGATTTAATCCAAAGTATATGAAGCATTAAGTATTTTACTCTCCGTAAATGCAATTTTTCTCTAAATGCACGTTTTATCTGATTTTTTCTGTGTCTCCCGACGACGTTCACTTGGAGTTCTGACTGTAATAACTTATTTAGAAATGATAATTCTTCCAAAAATTCAACAGTGGCGCAGTATTTGATGCGACTAAACCTGATGCACTATATCTTCGTTCTCTAAGATAATTACTTATCTTCTGTCTGATCTTGATCCAGAACCTCATCCTTTTGTTCTTGTTTTATTGGTAAACCCGAAATAAACCGAAAAGGCTTTTTGTCCGGATATTTTACTTTCTCTGACCAATATCGCCAACATTGTTTTGGCGTTCGTGTATCAACTACTTTTGCAACTTTAATCCACTGATTTCCATATTTTTTGTATCCCTCACGCAACCGCTTAATCTCCGCTTGAGACCATCTTCCCACATTAGCATGTGGATTTAACCTTGGCGAATCTTGTAGCAAACGTTTTGCCAAAATCATTGATCTGCCAGGTAATCGTTTCATAATCAAATCCCATTGATTTCCATATTCTTTTACCCCTTGCTTTAACGCCTCGATTTCCTCTTGAGACCAATAACTAACTTGGCGATTGGGTCTAGTACATATTTCGTAGTGTGTTCGAATTACGGATGGAGGTCTATTCATATCTTCGGAAATCCTTGTCCAATTTCCATTATGTTTTTTGTATAGCTCTAAAAGCTTCTGATCTTCTTCGGGCGTCCATTGCCCGCGTTTCGATTTACTTAATAGTGCCCAACGTACACGTGCTTGGATATTTGAGATTCCGGGAATTCTTTTCGCAATTTCTTTCCATTTCCCCACACCTATTTCCTCCACGGCTTTGCACAGCAAAATATCTTCTTTTTGAGTCCAAATATGTCGTGTGTTAACAGTGTCCGGGATTCCTTGTTTTTTCATCAAATACAGATACTTTGTTCGTATACTATTTGCTTCATGCGTCATACCAAATACTTCTTTAGCAATCACACTCCATTTTCGCCCATATTTTTCACACGCTTCTAAAAGTTTTTTCTCGTCCTCAATTGACCATATGGGACGTTTTACTCTCTTAATCATGTACCAGTCCTTGTCGGATAAACTAATTTCTTTCTCTCGACCCTTTTGTTTCTTTCCATCATTTGATTCTGGTTTATTTGATAATGACCTTGTCGCTACAATTGGTAAAATTTTAGTTGTTTTTTGTTGAAATTGCGGCAGCACTTGTGGAGTAGGTATTATCGTGAGTTTAAGAACGTTGGAAATTATTTGCATTGAGAGATATTGTTTCATCTTTCGTTTACATATAAACGTGGATTTATTCGTTATCGCATTATTAATAATCACAAGATTTTCATTTTTTTTAATTGGCTGTCTGGATCTGCTTAAATTATCAATAAATATAACGATAGTCTATTAATTATATAAACAAGATTAAATTAAATCTACAAAATTAATGCTCCTGCTAAATTTAATTCAATTAACCGAATCATTCGAATTCAAATGAAAATACTCGTATAATCGTAAAAGATTTCGTTCTAACATGGCAATAGTGACTTTACCAACAGCCGGCACATATATACTAGCTTTCTCGGTGACATTCTCCTCAAAATTCTTGTATGCTGAAAAATTTATAGCAACCACGCCATCACGTAGCAGGTCTGTCGAGAGTTTATAGGATTTGGATGGGACACCCGTTATGACTACGTCGCATTGAGGTATTACTTCCTCTAATTGCAGGTTTGTTTTTTGCACCTTATTTTATACACAAATTTATCTGTAAATATTTATACAATAATCTTCATGCTCATTATTAATTAATTACCTTATGCATATGCCACTTTAATCCGGTCCCACGCGTAAATATTTCGACACCATTTATATCGATAGAATATATTTTTGCTCCGTCATTAGCTAATAATGCTGCTAATGGTCGTCCGACAACTTCACTTCGATTAATTATCCCAATGACACGTCCATATAGTCGATTACCGTATGGAAGAACAGGATTATAAACTTTTATATACTCAAGAACCTATAGATGGCAGTATTATTAATGATGATGATGATAATAATAATAATAATAATAATAATAATAATGAAAATGACAATTTTTTATTTGTCAATATTATTACTGTTTGTTGATACCTTTACAATTCCCAATGGTGTACACGGAATTATACTCTTTTTAGTCTCGTCTTTGTCAATATGCCTAATATTATGATACATATTAGAGACGTACATGTGACATAGACCTTCGACATCTTTGCGATAATCAACTACATTTTGAAGATATTGATCCTACGAAGAGAACATTAAATAAAAAATATTACTCTTTTTTATTATCAAGGGAATGCGAGATTGGATTATCTTCTCATTAAAAAAGAATGATTCCTTCTGTGAAAACTTAAATACCTGTCGATCTCCATACACCGGATAATAAATTATCATCCCATGCACACTTTTATCCTCATTTGCTTCCATAACCTGACTTTCCAAGTCCTCACGAGGACATTCACGTAGTTCAAATTCCACTCCAATATCTTGACAAGACTTTCCCGTCCATTTTGCATATTTTACTGCGGCCGGATCATCATTTGCCAAAAATCCAACAAGTTTAGGACGAATTCCTTTTGAGGATATATAGTTTTTCATTTCGTCTCTGAGTAGCGGTAGTGTAGGTAGAACAAAAATGTGGTTGTGGAGGTAACGGCGGAAAGAGGTATTTATATATTTATATTTATATATAACCGGACGAAGGCCGTGGCAGCAAATATAAAGAGGAAAAGACGCGCTTCTTGAGAAGTTTCGTGGTCTCTTCATTACGAGGTGCACGAAGAGAAGAATGTGTTTTTTCACAAGCATGATATTCTCAAATAAATGAGAAGATAATCGATGGCATACCTGTAGCCCTGTGCTATTTCCGAAGCTAATACCGTTTTGCAAGACATTTTTAAATAGGTTGAAAGAAGCGTAAAGTTTTTTAATAGATGAAAACCGATCTAATAATGGTTACATCAAAATAATCTCATATATCATATGATATGGCATATGGCATGCATGATCTATTTAAAAAGGGTATGAAGCATACTTCCGGGGTTTATTTTCTATTACCACGAAATTACTAAATGGCAGATGGTCCAACTCTTAACGCCCAAATAGTTCGTGGTCTCCAAGACCGGTTATATGACAAACGAAAAGCAGCAGCACTAGAGGTCGAGAAGTAAGAGCTACTTGAGTTGTGATATGCGTGAAAAGCATATAGTTTCATTAAAATTTTGAGAACACGCGCGACATTTCTCTAGTTCAAAGCATAAAAATTTTACTTGACTGCCGTCTCTTTACGATTCCATTTAGACTTATAAAAGACTATGCGGGAAGTAAAGATGTCGAGCGAGTTCGCGGAATACTCGATACGCTTGTTCAAGAGTTTGCATATTCTGTTAATGCTAATGCGCGCAATGGGGGGTTAATTGCTTTAGCAGCCGCCTCAATAGCATTGGGCCAAGTTAGTTTTACTCTTTTATTAAACCTTCAATTATTATTTCATGTGCCGAAGTATGAATTACTATTTGTTTGATATTTTGTTTGATAGGACGTTGCGACGTATTTGGACGATATAGTGCCACCGGTACTTGCTTGTTTTGCCGATCAAGATTCAAGAGTGAGATATTATGCGTGTGAAAGTATGTATAATATTGCAAAAGTCGCTAAAGGCGAAATATTGCGATATTTCAATGAAGTATTTGATGCGATGAGTAAGGTATGGAAAATTTGTTTTAAATTAGCATTTAGGATTATCACTTATGATGACTATACTTAGCTTGCAGCGGATCCAGAGCTTTCAGTCAAGAATGGTGCGGAACTTTTAGATCGATTGATTAAAGATATCGTTGCAGAGCAGTCTACCACCTATGTATCAATTCTGGTATCTTCAAGTGTGGGAAATGACACAGATATAGACTCGACAGCGCCGCGTACTACAGCATTCTCTCTGCCTCGTTTTATACCTTTACTCTCAGAACGTATTCACGTCAAAAACCCATTTACCCGCAACTTTTTGGTATCTTGGATTACAGTTCTCGACTCGATCCCCGATCTCGAACTTGTATCATTTCTTCCCGATTTTTTGGACGGCCTATTGAATTTTCTGAGCGATCAAAATAAAGATGTTCGATATGCTACTTCAACTGTTCTTGCTAACTTTTTGGCGGAAATTCGTGAAGCTGTCGAAGTTAGAGAACAGCAAAAAACGCAAGCATTGAAAAGTTATTATGTTGAGCAACAGCGAAAGGCACTGAATTCTTCAGAGACTACAAGTGATACGGGAGAATATGTCAAAGATAGTGATATTCTTGAGGAGGGTGTAATGGTCAAGGCCTCGTTGGATGGAAATGAAATTAATTGGGATGCGGTTTCTATTAATGAAAGTGAAGGGAAGGGAAAAGGTTCTTGGGTACCGGGACAAGGCGTTGTAATTAATTATACTAGAATTGTACAGATATTAATGCCACATTTGTCCTCGCAAGGTAACGTCAATAAAAATACCCTGAAACTTTGCCATAATAAATGCATAATATTAAGACGTAAATTGCAATATACAATCTAGAGGAAGAAATACAAGCAACAGCACTTCGGTGGATAAACGAATTTATTCTTCTTGCTAAAGAAGTTATTGTTCCATTCACGCCTCAATTGATTGCCGCCATCTTGCCATCGCTCGCGCACTCCATTATGCATATCCTTTTTGCTCTTTAATATTAAACATTAATTTATCGATTTTTATTATCTTTGACCTATTCTATTATTTACTGATCAGAAACAGTGCTATTGATGCCAACTCAAACCTTTATAAACTGATTGTCGATACTCCTACAACTCCACCGCCCGCTTATTCTACTATCAAAGAAATTTCATCTGCTCATGCACCATCTATGGTTTCAACGGTATTTTTAACATCTGCTATGATCTTGGCTTCTTCTAACAATGAATTGACTCCACAATATTCTCTTCAATCGATAATAAAGGAGAATAATAATGGATTAGTAAGTGACCCGTTTGATTATCAGGCGACTGTTGATGCGTTGATGCATCAGCTAATGAATGAGCATGAAGAGACTCGTGTTGCCAGCTTAGAATGGCTTTTGATGCTCCATAAAAAAGCACCGAAAAAGGTATTTTCTTCCCAATTATTAGAGAAAGCTTCTATTATGTCAATTCAATATATGATAAAAATCTCCTTTTTCTCAATAGATTTTAGCAATAGATGATGGTACTTTTCCTGCATTACTTAAAACATTGTCGGATACTTTCGAAGAGGTAAGCGTTAAATAAAGTATTTATGTCATCTCATAATTGTATATTAGCATATATGTTTCAGCATTTTGCTAATTTTATGTCCAAGTTAGGTTGTCAAGCGAGACTTGCAGCTTCTTGCTCAAATATCTTCTAATTCCGAAGATGAATATTTTACGAGATTCATGGTCGATTTGTTGAAACTTTTCAGTACTGATCGTCGGCTTTTAGAATCAAGAGGTAGTTTGATTATTCGACAATTATGTTTAAGTCTTAATTCTGAACGAATATATCGTAGTTTTGCGGAGATTTTGGAAAAAGAGGAGGTATTTCTATTTTTCTTGCAATTTTCTCCAATTTATACATATTTACTTTGATTTTGTTCAAATTTGAAAGGATTTAGAATTCGCATCCACAATGGTACAAAACCTCAATATAATCCTCATCACATCACCTGAGCTTTCCGATCTGCGTAAACGGCTCAAAAGTCTCGAGACAAAAGATGGACAAATGCTGTTCACCGTGCTCTACAAATCATGGTCGCATAACCCTGTATCAACTTTTTCACTCTGCCTTTTAGCACAAGCTTATGAACATGCAGCAAATTTACTACAAAGTTTGTCAGTATTAATTACCTGTATATTATATATTAAATGGTTTGCACTCTTCATACATAATTAATTTGATCTTGCTTATTAAATTATTTTATGAAACAGCGCAGAATTAGATATAACAGTGAATCTACTTATACAGATTGACAAACTGGTTCAATTGCTTGAGTCTCCTGTATTTACATGTATAGTTTTTACTATTTCTGTTACAACCTTATTATATAAACACAGTATATACTAAAATTATCCTTAATTTTTACTTTTTATAATTAGATCTTCGTCTTCAATTGCTAGAACCTGAGAAATACCCTAATCTTTTCAAATGTTTATATGGATTATTGATGCTGTTACCACAGAGCAGTGCATTCGCTACATTAAGAAACCGTCTAAATACTGTTAGTTCAATGGGATTCTTACATTTAATTCCAAAAACGTATGTATTAATATTGATATTCATCATGGAGGATGCGTTATTAATACAATTTTTAATTTCAATAATCCAGGAACCCGCCACCGGACACAAAATCTAGATCAATTAAGACAGCCGTTGTTGTCAAAGACGACGGTATCAAGTGGCAAGATCTCTTAATACATTTTCGTGCAGTGCAGGCTAAGCATGAAAAAACACGGAAGCAAAGTAATTATTAATGTATTCAAATTCGCGCATAAAAACCGCAAAAACTAATTACCTTATTTCCCTTTATTAAAAACAAAGCTCAACAAGCAACTGGAAGATCTAGCAGCGCAACACGACGTCGACGCGACCGTGATCGGGACCGATCCCAACAGACCAACAATATTTCAGGTCAACCATCTTCTAGTAAAACATTATTACCAGTCCCTGGTGGTGGTAGCATGATTCCAGGTGTTGTTAGTGTATCGTCTTCACAGGGAAGTCATGGCAACATCGTGCATAGTAATGGAGAACCAAAAAATCGACGAATGAGCAATAGCGATGGGTCGAGGGCCTCTAGGGCTTTAAGTCCTGCAAAGCGTATCCCAAGTAAGAATAAATAGTAGATAAATATGCCTTTTTTACAGGTTTTCATAGTGATTACAGATAGAGTAGCTATTATAGTTGATTGGTTATATGAGTTTGGATCTTATTTACTGTATTATATTTATTTAACTAGTGTATTATATTTATTTAAAATAAATGTTTTCATTATTTTATGATCACTTTTTTAAGTTACATATGCTTTAATATATAAATCATATAGCTCTAAATTTCTAGAAATAATTATTATATCTGAAAATATAAAGTATATAATATGTATTATTATATTTTAAAAAGATCTTGATTAAATTACAAGTAAAACTATTTATATATTAATTTTTTGCAATTAGATTTTAAAAATAGTTGAAATACCAAGATTTATTAAATTAAAATTTGATATTAATTTAACTGAAAATTTATATATATAGTAACTTATAAAGTAATAAAAGCAAAAAAAATTTGAATAAATTATTATTAAAAAATCATTTATTAAAGTAATAATAATTAATATAATTTTTATTTTTATTTATTATTTAATAATTAATAATATAAATATATGATTAAAAATTATTATATTATTTAAATATAAAATTTGATATTGATTTTATAATAAAATTATCTAACTTTTAAATAAGTTAATATACTTAAAAAAATAATAACAAAATAAATATTATTATTATTATTATTTGGCTTGAAATATTTTAAATAACAATAATTTCAAATAAATATAATATTTATATTTATAAAATTCTTTTAAATTATTATTAAAATTAAAATAGAATTCAAATAATATTTTTAATAAAAAACTAATTATATTAATAATATAATTTTTTAATAAAATTATTTTAAAAAAAATTTTAGTAATTAAATTATTTATTAAATAATCTTTTTAATTAAACTTATTAAATATTTTTTAATATTAAATTAAGTTTTAAATTTAAAGTTATTTAATAAAGAATTTTAAATTAGTTTTTACTTTTTTTATTTTTAATTATAATATATTTTTACTAATTAATATATAATCAAATCTCTATAAAAGAATATGATTAGAATATTTAAATTTTATTTTATTATAAAGATATTTTATTATGAAATTTTATATAACTAATAAATTAAATTAGTTTTAAAAAAAATATTTTTAATAAAAAATATTCTTTTATAAAGAGTTATTTTATCAAAATTTAATTATAATAAGAATATTCTAAATTATATAATTTTTAAGAAATAAATTAATCAAATTGCAAATTATAAAATATTAATAATATTTTAATTATTTAAATATAAAAATTAAAAATATATTTCACAAGAAAATTTTAATAATAAAATTTATAAGAAATAGATTTTTATAAATAAATTTCAAGATAAAATTATTTTTTAAAAATTAATATTTTATTTTAAATTTTTATTATATATTAAACTATATAATTTAAATTTTTTAGAAATATAATTAAAATATAATTAATTATTTAATAAAGTAATTTAATTAAAAATAAAATAAATATTCAAGTTAATTTAATATAATTTAATAAATATTAAATAATATTATATTTTTTTATAATAAAAAAATTTAAAATATAAATTTAAATAAAATTAATAATAATTATATTAAAATTTTATAATATAAAATAATTTATATATATACAGTGGCAATCAAAAATAATGCAACGCTTAAATTTTTTACTAATTATAATTAGTAAAATATGTATT